GCACCATCATATGGTGTTCCGCGCTACACCGAATCCATCTTTTAATCAATTTCCCATCAACCGGTCATGGATCCATGCGCACACAGGTTACCTTGCGCCGCAACACACCGGATTGCTCCGGTCTTCTTCCCCGCTGCCGGCGACCGGAAATCTCGCCGAGCCTCGCCGGAAAATGCATAAAATTACCGGAAAATTCTAGAAAATTCTAGAAAAATCCCTGAATCCTTAAATAATTATTTTTAGCTAGATTTAATCGTATAGGATAATAATTAAATATCTACCATCCTTAATAATTAAAATTTTATTAATTAAATAAACTAAAAATAATAATTTATTAACTCCTAACATGCTCTCAAGGCTCCATAATAATTTAAATAATTTAAACAATTAATTTATGGATTCAAAGGGGGAAAATAGATTATAACTTGCCTTTAGGATTTAAAATAAATCCGCCGGTTGCGCGTAGTCGGGTAAAATTGCTTACACCGGTACAGGCTCCCTTCTTTCTCTCTCTTCCTTTCACTCTTCAACTATTGCTCACTGTAATTCTTTTTTTTTTTTCTACTTAGGTGAGTTGCCTTAAGGGTAAGTTGGCTAACTAATATATATATACTAACTTATATAATATATATAATACAAATATCTAATTTACATTAACTTCTCACCCATTCCTCACATTCCTACCTATAACATTTAAGCCAAGCAAGCAAAATGTCCTAAGGTTCAACTATGGGAATGAAATCCTATCCTAAGATTTAATTTTTCATCATTACATTGATTTAATACTATTATTATTATTATAATTATTATTATTATATAATACAAATTAAATACTTTAATTAAATAATATTAATTAATAAAAAACATAACCAATAAAATTTCTAAACTAATCATTATAATATATAGAACATAAAATCAATATTACATGCACAAATAAATAAAATTAATTAAATAATTTAACATATATAATTAAAAGGTGAATAAATCTACACATTAAAGAATTAACCTAACACAAAATTAATTTAAATAAACTCTTTAAAATTACGGGGTATTACAAAACACTTCTCCAATAAGTAATTACCAAAAAAGTAATTATAAGTTGACCAAGAATAATTAATTGATATTTATTTACTTAGCCACCAAGTAATATGTCACATGTCCAAATCATATGGGCCACAATTAAATAAATAATCTTACAAGTGGTTCAAATCTCATCTCATTCTTTCGGTAACGAGTCATCTCATTTTTTCGGTAATGTATTCTTGAGTTGCTCAAACAATTTATAAAAAAAATGTTCCTTTTGAGTTTTGAGTTTGAATTAATACTAAATTAATGCATTGAAATTCAAATTAAAGGTAATATAATTTAAAGTTTAAACTAATTTTTTTGAGTTACAATTCCGGGCACCAATTTGGTGCTTTTAAACGTAGAGCTTTTGAGTAATTCTTATAATAAGTGTTCAAAAAAAGTTTCATTTCCTTTCTATTCTTACTATTTTTATCTAACCAAATGAACCCTAAGAAATTTATTGAAAAAAAAAAAAAAAAAATTGGATGCCAACTATTTAAAATAATGCCCTTCCAATTGTTGATAATACCTTTTTGGTTACTTATTCCAATAAATTGTGAAAGGTTCTGAGAATTATTTTGGTGTGCCGGGTGGTGATTCCTATCATTATTATTATTATTATTATATTGCCATTGTTTCAAAAGAGCAGGGACATTTGATAATGTTTATGATTTTGTGTTTAATGCTTAGTAATTATGTTTATTAGTGTATGCGTTATTAACTTCTTTTTTTTCTTTCCAAAAACAAAAATATTGGGTAATGTGAATAAACATGTGTTAGTAAGATCATCATGGAGGGAAATGTCATATGTATGGTACCGGTAGAGCACTGTGCTAAGATAGAAACCCAATCATTGTGTTTGGGTCTAGAAACGTGCAGTGGGTTACTTGGTTAGTTTCCTCGCCTACGGGCATGTAGTGGGATACCAGGCGAGTCTCCTCGCTTGTAGGTGTGCCCGGACCGTGGTTCGGTCCGATCTATGACAAGGGACCGGGTCTAACTCTGGGCAAGCAAATATTCCTGATACTGCAACCTCCCTCTAGGGGGAGCGTAGTCTTTTTCGTCCCTAATTTGACATTGAGGTGCTCTGGAGAGCAAGAAATAACTCCCCCAAAGGTTCTTTGCGGCCCTCATCGCGCCAAGGGCCGATGGTCAAGTATCTGGTGCTTCTTTTTGGTATTTTTTTAGTTTATGTGAAATAATGAACAAATAAGCAATAATCGAAGCAATGGATCAAAGAAAAGATGATTAATAACATCACTATATTAGCAAAGTTGATTAGTGCTTCTAGTGAATAAAGATAAATCAGGTACAATTCCATATCCGAGACATAGCGTGGACTTGGTCTTACTTTTAGAGCGAGCTTCAAGGGGTGATTTTATAGAAGAAATGTGACCTCCACGTAATTTAACTTTAACAAGGCAGGAAATAAAATACTTTCAAATAAGAAGAGTGATAAATTAACCTTGCATTCTAATTACTTAGTTGCTTACATGAGTGTGGTCATGGCTACAATTTAGCCCTTACCATCGTCAGAATATTAATGTTGACTCAGGAATCCTAAATAAAATGCATATACATCAATGGGTCATCCCCGAATGAAGAGGAGGGGTGGAAAGTGAGCCCGCGAGAGACCCAAAATCTACAAGCCCTGGAATAAGCGATTGGTACAGGCAAGATTGAGGTAAAAAACTTAAGCTAATGCCTCAAGGACGTTGCCACCTAAATAAGGCGTGGACGAGTCGAGCCACATATGTGTTTATACATGGTGGGTGTATTTGATAACATAATTTGAATAAGCGCGACTTAAAATGAAGTAAAATTTTAAACGATATGCTCATCATTTATAACTGAATGAGAGAATGTTGATTTTTTTTGTTATTATTATTTATAAAAAATATTAAAAAAAAAACTATTTATTTTTCAATTATCACTTAAAAACTTTAGTACTGGAAATTCAACTCTTAAAAATTCCAGTACTTAATTTTCAGTTTTATAAAAAATACCTTATATTCTGTTTGGTATAAAAGAGGAAAGTGGGATGAAGGCATGATGGGAAGGAAGAACCAAACTTCTTTCATTTGGCAGAGAGGAGGTAAGGAAAGGAGAGAAAAGAGGATGAATCCTTCTTCCTTTATAAATTTTCATCCTTTCAAATATGATGAAAGATGTGAAGGAAGAAATGCAAGGTTATTATAGAAGTTTTTAAATTACAAAAGGTTCCTTATAATTAACATCATCTCTTTCTTTCTTTCATAACAAACAAAATAAGGTATTATCTCATTCTCTTTCCTTTCATTTAACAAAAAAAAAAAAAAAAATGAGAATAACACAATCTCTTCTCTAGAGATGTTTAATTCATCTTTCTTTTCCTTCCATCCAATTTTCTTCCTTCCTACTAAACATAACATTAGTTTTGAATGAGAGACCGGGCCTTTTAATCTTTTACACGTGGTTGGGTTGTTCTGAAGAATTATTAAGGAAATTTTTTTATAACAATATCAAACGAAATGGCTTGATACAAGTTATAATTTAAGCCAATACTTATAAATGACTAGTTAGAAAGGAAAAGAAACGGAAATTTTTTAAATTATTTAGTAGTTTGGTCAGTAGTTTCGCGTGAAAGTTATATCATTATTTGTTAATTTTCAATTATGCTCTTGTCAGTTAAATCTATTCCTTCTTGTTAGACTCACAAAAGGAGTAACTTCTTTTTGATAAATTAGGACTCCTACTTATATTACAACTTTCTAACTCATTAAATTAGGACTCCTAATTAAGTTATAATTTTCTACTCTTTAAATTAGGACTATATATATATATGCACGCACATATTTTTATTCATAAACCAATTATTTATATTTTTTATTATGCTTGTTGCATGATGTATTTTACTTGGTGCTAATTAAGTTAAAAAATTTTGACTCTTTAAAATGGGACTCTATATATATGCACGCACATATATTTTTATTCATAAAATAATTATTTATATTTTTTATTATGCTTGTTTTATTATTCTTGTTGCATGATGTATTTTACTTAGTATTGAATTCATAAGGGTAATTTTGGTACATAAATTATTTTCTTTTCACTTTCTTGCTAACCAAACTAATGAAACAACATTTTCCCACAAATTCTTTAAAAAAAAATCATACTAACCAAATGCATGTTAGAAACATAATTTTCTTTTATTTTACTTCACTTTCTTTTCCTTTCACTTTCTACCATCAATTTCTGGCTAACCAAACGAACCCTAAGTAATTTAAAATTATTAAAAATTAATACAATATAATGTTATTTTTTATTTTTAAAAATGGTAGGAAATGCTAACGAATTAGTTAATGAGAAATACAATATAAAATGAGATGGTTTGATACAATTTATAACTTAAACGAAAACATACTTATAAAATGAGACATCTATAATAAAAAAAAATATTTAAAAGATAAAAATTTATATGTTAAATGTGTGGAAAGTTTTGTTTTTTGAGAGATTATTATTTTTTAAGAAATTTTTAATCTTTATAATTTTTTAAAAGTTATCATTATATTTTATTAATTTTAAAAATTTTATAATAACACATCAACAACCTACTTTAGTAGAGTTTGACTTAACTTGAATTCTATTCCCATTATTATTTTTCATCATATATGAAGTAATTTACAAATTATAAATTAATTGAAAATTTCATCGTTTTTTAATATATATATATATATATATATAATTATTAATTAATTATTTACTATTATTTTACTATTTATTTTATTATTTTTATAAAATAAAAAACAATTTAGGCAACTACAAATATTCTTTCTTGTTATCCACCTTTACTTTACTTTCCTTTTCTTGTGAGTTTCAATCAAACCAAATGTAGCCTTTATATATATATATATAATTATATATATATATCATACAATCGAAAACCGGTGGTACTGATAGGGCGGGACATAGGGAGAGAAAAGAGGTAGTAAAACGAAAAACACCGTGGTGAGACGCGGCGCCACCTGTTTTCAACACAGTAGTCCTAAAAAATAGTAAAACAAAACATCGGACGATTCGGGACTGGTTGTCAACATCGGACGATTCGGGACTGGTTGTCAACATCATTACGGACGATATATTATATATATACTCGTAATACACAAGCTATATAAGTATATATCAATATCTATATATTTCTGATTTCTTTTAAGATTTATCTATAGATGCTTCTCGTCACTTTTTTTGTTCTTTTTTCCCCAGTTTAGAAAATAGCAAGTACAGAGTGAGCGCGATTAGGAGAGAGGAGCAATGTGTCCGGAGAGCAATTCTGAGTTTATGAAGGTTGTCTTAGGCGATGCTGGCTACGTGCTCGAAGATATTCCTCACTTGATTGATTACATTCCCGATCTTCCTGTATGTCGTTCCTCTCTCTCTCTCTATAAATATATACATGTGTATATGTAGAATACCATTTTGATTCTTTGGGAAGATAAGCTAGATTATATATAATCTTTCTCAAATACGCGGGCTCACCCACAAGTTTTGATTGAATTATATTTAATGGCTTTTCAGAGTTCTATTTTTTTTTTCAAATGGGGAACAAAGGGTTAGTTTAGATTTTTGTATTTGAGTTCAGAAAATAATCTGTGGTAAATAATTTCATGAGTACGATTGATCTTGTGCACGGATGTGTAAGGTCACATGCCTTGTGTTTAAACATTGATGTGCTTTAAGAGTGTTGAATTAAGTGTTCCCTTGTGCTATGTTCAATTTCAGGGCACCAATTCCATGCAGCCGAACATAGCATTATAGTATTTTGATTTGTTGTATGATTAAATGAAATCCCTTTGCATCATCTCTTTGCTAAGTATCAAGATTTGCATGAATGATTAAATTGATTTTGGATGACAGGATATCTTATTTCCATGAAAGGATCTAGAATGTGTATCGAATGGAAAAAAGAGGCACATGATACAGCATTATAGAGTAGGTGAACAAAATTAGCAATTTCTTAGTCACCAGGTTGAGATTTTTTCTTGTTAATGTCTTATCTATCAAATTGTTGTTATCCTTTTTTTTTTTTTTTTTTTTTGAATCTCAAATATTAATTTTTTAACAACAAATTCATTAGAACTTAAAAGTAAAGATTTGTAGGTGGGGTATATATGCGGTTTGAGATTGCAAACTGGGAAGCTCTAACAAAGCTAAATGTTCAGAAACTGAATTTTTTTTGCCTGGACCTTCTACCAAAGCTTTAAATTAAAGCTTAAAAAATACGAGAGAACTTTTTATCATTTAATTGTTGCTAATACTTGAAGATTTCAAAGAAGGATTCTCTTATTGTTGACTAATCTAATGCTTTGTTCCTCTTAAGCATACCACATAAAGACAACATGAGCGACCCTTTATTCTGTTTTGCAACCTCTATCCTGTCAATGACCTCTACTGAAGTTCATGATTGACCTTGGCATAACCCAAGCCATCCTGAACAAAAAAGAAAAAGACAGAGAACTTAATTGAAACAGTAATAGTATTTAAGTTCTTAGAATTAGACAGACTCATAATTGTTCTTTTTGTTTATCTATCTATCTATCTATCTATCTATCTATATATATATATATATAATTTTGGGTTTTTTATTTTTTTGCAGACCTATCCCAATCCATTGCGTTCCAATCCTGCATATTCAGTTGTGAAGTAAGCTAATTTACATTAATTTTTCTAGTTCACTGCTTGTGATTTTGAATGATCTTTCCAATTAGTGTATTTAAATGTGGCCTTCTGGTTTCAGACAATATTTCGTTAATGATGATGATGCTGTAGCCCAAAAGGTAAGTTCTGCTGCTCAACTTGTTCTGTTCCTTGGATTTTACTTTCAATAAGCACTCATATGTGCTCATGTTTAACCCCTAGACCTCCTGTGTGTATCAGTGTTTTGGCTTGCATGCACGAGAGAAAGCGAGATGGGTTAACCTAGAAAAAATATAACACAATTACATTTGAATAAATGAATTCTGATTACAGAAGGGTTGATATCTCACATGTATAAAGTGGGTGTCACGTACTAGCTTGTGTGTGAGCTTGAGAGAGAGATATGGAGGGAGGGAGAGAGAGAGAGAGAGAGACACTTCTTGCTTGTATATCTAACCTCTATTTTAAATTGTTTGTCTATTTAATGGGGAGTATTTTTTTAATGTAAATGGCAGTATGCTTGTGCTGTCTATCTTATTATTTGCAGGCATCCTAATTATAGTCTAGAGTTTTACATATTTTAGTTTAAATAAGTTGGCACCTTTATTTTTCAGGCTGGAAATGGTTTGGAAACAAGCAAAAAGGTTCTTTTATATATGCATTGGAGACACTTCCACCAATTTAAAAAGAGAAATGACCATATGTGTGTTTTACTTCTTTATAGATTGTTGTTCACAAGAATAGTCCAAGAGGGACACATTTTCGACGTGCTGGACCTCGCCAAAAGGTATGTCTTCTTCTTTTGTGTGGGTCTACTGGAATAATGATTCCACCAGATATGGTTTTTCTTAGACACTTTCTTCATTCCACTCAGGTGTATTTTGAATCAGATGAGGTGCATGCTTGTATTGTAACATGTGGAGGTTTGTGCCCTGGACTGAACACAGTGATCAGGGAAATTGTTTGTGGACTCTATCACATGTATGGCGTCAACAAAGTCCTTGGAATAGATGTGAGTGGATTTCTATAGCTCCATGTACATGAAGTTTTAACTTAACATGCATTAATGATATAGCTGGGCATTTATTCCGTCACTGTAATATGTGTATAGCAAACAGTTCTTTCAAATGTTAGACATAGGTGGTGTTTGGGTGAGCTTTTTAACATCAAAAGTCCTTTGATGAATAAGGCCTTTTATAAGGAATTTTGCTAAAAGGAATTTATAAGAAAAAAGTTGTTTGGTGAGTGCATTTTTTGAAAGCCTTTTAACCATTAAATTAAATTTTACTTAACATTATTACCCATTTGAACCCATCTTCTATGGACACCGCCATTTTCTTTCAGAGAACGTAGTCCAAAAGTTCCCCGCTCAGGGCAAGACCCCCTAAAGGGAACCAATCCTCCAAACTTGGAATAAGTTCGCAATCGATGGGAAGGTCGAATTGATCATGCCGTAGACCTTTTTCTTGGAAGATTAAGCCATCCATCTTTTTTTTTTTTGAGCTGAATATTAGGCTATGCCTCCTCCTTGTGTCATCTGTAAAACCTTTGGCCAGTATACCATACTGCCACCGTTGCCATAAAACTTTTTAATCATCCTCACTGCAATCCATTAGAGAAACTTGACAGAAATTTATAGACCCATTTTCGTTCCCATTTCAATTCTAGAAGAACCCTCAAGATTAGTTGCATAACAGAAGATAACTCTGATTCCGGATTGTTGTCACAATCTTTCTGTCTCTTCTCTTCTAATTTTCAAGTCTGTCGCGAATTTGAAGAATTGATCAGAAGCAAAATACTGTTTACAACTGATATGGAGAGTGTGGCAGTGGCGACACTGGCAATGAGGCGGCAGAGGAAGAGTGGTGGTGATGGATGTGAAATTGGTGGTGGTAAGCGGCGGTATAGAAGGAGGAGGACGCTGGGTTGCTGGTGGGTAGTTTGTTACTGCCGTCAGCCGTCATTGATGGAAGCCATGGAGTCGTTTGGGAGATAAATATAGAGAGAGAGAATTTGTAAAGAGAGAAGATTGATACCAGAAAAGGAAAGGGATAAGATGGTATTTTACAATCATAACGCCTGACTTTACGGAACGTGGATTTTAAAAGCATCTAATAGTTGCTTTCCCTAAACGGGCTTTCAAGCGGTTGAATTTTTGTCAAAGCCTGTTTCAAAGTTTTACCAAAAAGTTACACTTTTTATGAAATGCGCTTTGTGGGTTTAGAAGCCCGTTTCGGGGGTGCAGGAAGCTCCCCCAAACAGGGCCATAGATACTTTGGTAAGAGGTGCATGCTTATTCTTACGCATGTATGCGTGCATATACTCAAAAAGTATACGTGTAATTGTGTGTAGCAGAAGCAAGGTTTTAATTAATGGTGGTAAGTCGCTGTGATGCAGACACAGTGTAATGGACATAATGTATTGGACGCATTTCCCATAGTTGTGAAGCTCAACTCCTTATTGTATATCGATACACATGTTTAATCTCAAAATATCATAAATTTGAATTTTTAATGAGTTTTCAATGAATCTTGTTTACTTCTGTATAATTTATTTTACGTGGCTGGGGAGTTTTTTCAGTGAATTATAAGTTGTGCTATCAGTGAGAATTTTTTTTTTTTTTTTAAAACTTTTCACAACTAACATGATAAAAGGTGACTTAAACTTGAAACAAGTTTAGAAGTTGTGGGTGCATGACTAGAATGCTCCACTTATCGCTGAGATGACAACCCTCACCATGCCATGTAGTTGCCAAGGTGGCAGCCTATGTGACATCTTCACCCAAGTCATTTTGGAACCCTGAAAGTCTCACATGTCAATCCTGCCGCATGACATATGGCAGGCTAAAAGAAATGATTTTGATTCTCCAATTGACATGTGGACCGGCTTTACAAGGGAAGTACTTCTTTCTGAACACGATGTGAGTTGACTCACCATGAAGTTCTAGAGAGACCAAGTCTCATGACCTCAGAGCAATGACGAAATAAGGTTAACCATAGAACATACTGTGGTCAAAACTATTATCTTAATAGTTGCGCTGTCAGCTTAACTAATGCCTTGTACTCTATGCCTGAATAGTTGTCTGGTACCATACATCCACGGTGTTCAATCGCACACTTACTTTGGACGCATGGTCCGTCTTATTAAAAAAGAAAAAAAGATGTCTCCGCATTGTTTGACTACACACTTCTTCAATGGTATTTACCTTCCTTGCTGCCTTCTCCATAGGCATACCTCAAATAAGGTTCGACTGTGCACTTCTTCAACTGTGGAAGCATTCTTCTCCTCACTCAAACCTCCCTCAATGGATGAAGTTGCCTTAGTAGTTAGTACACAATGCACCTTGATGAACCTTGTGCACTGTTTGGGTCAACAACATGACTCAGGATTGGAGTACTTGGATTGATGGCTGAAGTTCAACGATTGCTAAGGTGACCTCCCTCAAGGTCTACTCCTCAACCAATTTTAGGGAGAGAAACACCGCGTGGCTTTGAAGTAGGGATGCACACAGTTCGGTTTAGAGGGTATCCAACTGAGCCAAACTGTTTCCTAAAAATTGCAACTGAATCGATGAAACCGCCTTAAGTGCCATGGTAGAACATCCCCAAATCAGTCCAAACTGTATAAGAACAATTTGGATTAGTTTGTTTTTACAAATTACACTTACTAAAATATATAATATACTAATAACTATGTTTAGCCTGAAAACCTTATTCAATCTAATTTTGATGAAATGAAACTTTATTTTACAACTCCATGAAAGTGCATCGCTAATTAGCAATGGAAGCCTGCAATGGAAGGTTTAAATGCTGCAAGAATCTCCCTTACTGATCTAAACCACATGTACTGATGTTGATGATGGTTTTGATTCTTCTTGAGTCTGATTATCTAAGTTATTTCATCATGTTCTTCTACCTCCTACTAGTATAGGGTATGCCCTACACCAATCTTTCATGTAATGCTTTTTCCTAGTGATCCTTGCTGGTCACTTCTCCCATGTACTCTATTTGATTATCTTGTATGAATAAATCACAACACATTCAGGAAAACAAAAAAAAAAGAAAAAAGAAAAAGGAAGTGCATCTTTAATTTCTAAAATATATGTAGCATTAATTTAATTGCCAACAAAATTAGAATATTTTTATATTAATCTGTTTATGTGAATGAATGCTAAGGTTAGAAAAAAGGTATATATATAACCTTGATTTGATGTAATGCAAGCTTATGGTAATAAATGTTACCAACCAATCAAATGAAGTTATATATATACATACATATATATATGTATGTAGCATAGTTCAGTTCGAATTGGATCGTTTTTTTTGGCTTCTAAATGTGAACCGAACCAATCCTAACTTCCGCACTACTTCTGAAACCAGAACCTAACTGCTGAGCCATAAAGCCGAACCAAACAGTACGGTTCGGATAGGTTTCGGATCAGATTGACGGTTTGAATGGATCCTGTGTGACCTTACTTTGAAGTGACATGTGCCTTGATGAAGTGGCAACATTCTATTACATATTGTACGTGGTGATCTCCTAGAATAAATCAACCACTCCTAACCAAGAATAAATATATAACAAGGTCCACGACCAAACAAAATGGTCTTGATATTCGAATTCCTTAAATATTCAAATGCTATAAATAATAACACGTGTAATTGTTATAAACTTTCATCGTCATTCCTTTTGCTCTTGCTCATTTTCCTAAGGCTAAAAGTGGCTAAAGCTATATGAATTCTTCAAGTTTTGCACCAATATTGTGTTAACCCAAATCTTTTGAAGAGATATTTAGAATATGCTGGATCTTGACCCTTCTTGTAAAATATGTAAGATTGTCGTGCCACAGAATTTTCTATCTTCAATGGAGTAACGTGTTCAACTTTGCAGTGTAAAGAGCTTCAAATTAGTCTAAAAATCCATCATTATGTAGGTATTCAACTTTTGGTTGAATCAAATAAATACTATGAGTAAATTTCTTCTCCAAACTATGGACTTCCTACTTTTCTCAATGCCTCATCCATTGGATTTTTACAATTCACTCTAGTGATACCTTTGCCATACTTTCAATAATCTTGTCTTTTTGTTTGGCTCAAGAATTTCAATGTTATCTGGATTAGCTGTGGCGGTTGGACTTGGAGTTGACCCATCAATCGCTTCTTGTGTTTGCAATAAACCTCTTAACAAGTTTTCATCTTCTCTAAAGAAATAAAACTAGCCCTTAAACCATCCACCGATCTTTTAGTTATGGACAGATTCTTTCTGCTCATAAAACTCTTCTTTGTAATCCCAATGATTTTGAATAGGTAACAGTCCAAATTGACAGCTTATTACCAAAGTAACCAAACTGATGCAGGTAATCTGAGTTTTTTGTATTCTAGGGTTTATCTTTTATAGAACAAAGGTGGGTCCGGTTTGCAGATAGAAAAATAGACTGACAGGAGAGTCTTTTTTTTTTCCCCCCCTGAATGGGGTATTTTTTTGTTTTATATATAAATAAAAAATAGTACAATTACAAATAGGAGGACAAGCCTCCAGAACAAGCCAAAAATGGACAAACTCCATTTTCAAAACACAACAAAGAAAACCAAAACCTGACCTGACTAAAAACCAGAGAAAAAACACAAGAGAACATAACTAATATTCAGAAACTAATCCCAAATATAAGCCTGCTCTAACATGAAAATTCCTGATCTTTAACTTCAATATAACCAGCCCATTGTGAAGAACCAAAGAAGACAGTCCATTTGATAAAGCTTGAGGCTTATGCATCAGCAACTGAACAATCCCCTGCATAACCAAACTGTAACGGATACCAGAGAAATCTGCAACATGTGTAGCTTGAATTTGACCATTTCTCTAGGATAGCACTATGATGGAGAAGCGGTAGATTGGCAGATGAAATCAAGGAAAATTGGGTTAGATTTTTCCTATGAAAGACTTCAAATCCTTTGGCTCAAGTTCTGTTGATTGAAGGATAATGGAGTTCTGGAGCATAATGTTAGCAAAGAACCGAAATAGTGATAAAAGGAAGAAAGTATCCTACCCCAGAATGACTTAATTGTGATCCATACTCAAATTAATAGAAGTTTTACACACTTGCTTTTTAATCTAGAAAGTCTATTGATTTATTGTAATCTTGTTTTCCAGTAAAGACTCATATTTTAAGATACTACAGAATCATAAAAACTTGCATGAACCTTCTAAAATTTGGTCCACTCAATATTATGACTAAATACGACTAAAATTACATAAAAATAATAAGTTTCAAAACTATTAGTGGACTAGATTGTAACTCAAAGTTGGTATTTAGAAGATCTATCCAAAATGAACTTTCTAATGTCCTAATATGACTTGACTAATCTTATTTTATTATAACATTTAACAAGACCCAATACCCAAACAAAACAGTATTGATACTTTGAATAGCTAAAGTACATCTACTACTACGAGTAATAGCGCATGTAATTGTTATGAACTTACTTTCCCATCTTGTTGCTCCTGCATCACCGAGTAGACGCAAAGTATACAAGAGTCAGAAAATTATGCACGACCCAACTTTCAAGCACATTCCCAATACATATGCACATAAGGACATACAAACATCTGCATTTTCATTATTCAGTTGCAGGTTGTGTGCTGTGTTACTTTGATACGCTAAATCCATAGGCTATCAGTAGTATATCAACCTCTAAAGATTATGACAAAAGGAGATGTTTTTCAGATTTTATTTGTCAACAAAATAAGAGAAAATGATAATTTACTTTTTGTCTCCAAGACTCTCGACATCAAATGCATTAGTTGGGGCCATGTTACACTAATATTAGTTTGAACCAATTATTATGTAATAAAGAGTTGGGGTCATCTTTTGGTGCACTAGCAAAAGTTCAGACTATCAAGTATAATAGTGGGATGTAGTTTGAGTGCCAGTCACTTTATGCAAGTTAAGCTGGAGGTTAGATCTGTACCTATTCTTCTGCCCTAACAACACACTCAATGTTTTGAGGGCTATGCCCCTTTGTTTATGGTGGGGGCTGTGGCGAGAGAGAAATAGGAAGTCTTTTGATGGGGAGGAAACTCCTATTTGGTCTATCTCAAATACACTATTTTGAGTTTGTTATTCTTTTGGGTTAATGGCGAAATTGTACTTCTTTGGGGGTCTTTTGGATTTCATAGATAGCTTGAGAGTATAGCTATTCTCCTTTGTATGCTTTGTTCGCGCGCTCGCCTCTTGGGCACTTTTAATGAATTTTACTTAAAGAAAAAGTAAAGACAAATAATCATCAATATAAGCAATGGCTTTCATCAACATACAACAAGCAATAAAGAGTGTCATTAGTGTCAAAAGATGTCCATGCAGTGGAAATGGTAATAGAGTCTGTAGATAAGAATTATGGGGACTTTTAAATGTCATCATTTGGTTGCATAGCTTAAAATTTCGTACTTCACAATTTAATGGTTTCACCTACTAACGATTTGAAGTCACTTTTAGGGAGGATACAGGGGTTTTTATTCACGAAATACCGTTCCTTTAACACCAAAGGTTGTAAATGACATCCATAAACGCGGTGGTACAATCCTCGGGACATCACGAGGAGGCCATGATACCTCAAAGATAGTCGACAGCATTCAAGATCGTGGAATTAACCAGGTATGTGTAGCTTGGCATTTTATATTATTAATTTAAAGAGATGTCTGCTCTGATTCAGATTAAGACTCCCTTTTAGCAGGTGCTATCTATTTCAGGCTTTTAGCATGTAAAACTCATGTATTCATTCTGATTTTTGGATTTTTAATGGTTCAGGTTTATATAATTGGAGGTGATGGAACTCAAAAAGGAGCTGCAGTGATTTATAAGGTAATTTTGTTTGTTAATGCAAAAAGAACGACGGGTGAATTATACTTGCTTCTTTGAAAATCTTGCCAAATATGATATGCTAGTATTTCTTTAACCAAGTTACTGAATTTTGTTGTATTGGCTGCTTTATCTAAAGCTTTTGAACTTGAACTTATATCACAAGTTGAGCAGCACGTAATTCTTGAAAAGGAAGATTTCTTACAGGAGTCAAGTATGGCACCAAAAATCCTTCTCTCCTTCATTCAACCTGATTGAATACTGTAATAGCTACTAGACTGGTCTGAGAATAATTGATCCGCCTCACTTGACCCCCTAGTCTTCTTCCCAAAGTCTATGTGAAATTCGATGTTGGGATATATTTTCAAAAAATAGAGTTGATAATGACACATCTGGGGATGTATATTGTAACGAGTTGGAGGGCTCCTTCGTGAGAGAGAACCAAAAGAGAGCAGAAATTCTGGTGAATCATCAGGTGAAAAGGGAATTGGTTTAGTAATTTGGTGTTCAGATATTTTTGATCTTTTTCTACTGCATCACAATATCACATTAGTAACACCTCTCTTCCATCTTTTTCCTTCACCAACACCCCCCTTCCCCCCTCTCCTTCTTCCTCCTCCCTCTCCCACAAAAAAAAAAAAGAAAAAGGAAAAAAAGCAAATACAGAGAAGAGGACAATTCAGGATGTTGGGAGGGGTAGCCCATTGCAGGTGTAACTTCTTCTTTTTTTTTTTTTTTCATTCTACAAAGTGGATGCCCGTAGAGTCCAACTCACATTTTCAAGCATGACAGTTTGAGCCTTTATCACTGATCTTTTGGTGGCCCTTGGATGATGATGTTCACATATTAGGCTTAATAGATGCTAAGATATTCCTTGACTTCTAAATATAAACTCCAATGTTTGTTGACTGTCACCTAATTGGCTAGTCCTGATTTGTTCTATATAATTCGGCGTCCACTCACTCTAGTTGATTGCATCAACTGAATAAGACAGTGGAACTTATTGTTGTTCATATATTTACCGAAAAAAAATAAACTTATTATTGTTCATTTCTGATCTCTTCATGTAGGAAATTAGACGGCGTGATCTTAAAGTTGCAGTTGTTGGAATCCCCAAAACAATTGATAATGACATTCCGGTATTTTTCCTCCTCTATATATGAAATGTTGCTTACCAAAATTTATTTCCTTTTTGTTTATGGTAAATCCATTTCAGTAGTCAAAAATATTCTTGTTGGGTTGCTTTCATTTAATTTGGATTATTGACAAGCAATTTGTTTCTATATTAAAAAGTTTTTCCATCACCTTTTTGAAGAGCCTTTTTATCTCCCCGTAAAATTGTTTCTCACTTGATTCTATTTTTGATTCAGGTTATTGACAAGTCATTTGGTTTTGATACTGCTGTTGAGGAGGCTCAACGAGCCATCAATGCTGCACATGTTGAAGCTGAAAGTACCGAGAATGGTATTGGTGTGGTGAAGCTTATGGGTCGCTACAGTGGTGAGTTTCACTCTCATATGCTCCAAGTTCATAATTGAAAGTAGCAAAATTGTGGAGAATTAGATATCAAGTAATGGAGTTAACCATGCAAGCTTTTGTTAAGTAGTTTTTGATGTCCACATTTCCTTCAAATAATCTCTTTGATTTCATGTTTGTGCTTCTTTTGTAAACATACACGTGCAAATAAAGCTGAAGATAATTCCTGGTGGTAGGATAATTTATCTTGCGCTTTTGAATTAAAAGTTTCTCATAACTCATCACTTAGATGCATTAGGAAAGTGAATGACTTTCTTTGCTATTCTTTGAAAGAGGCGAGATTTAAAATTTTGCAGAGAAGTTGGAAATGCATAATGTAATTCCTTTTCTGTTAAAAGTTCATCAGTGATTTTCCTAGTTATTTAATTTTTGGTGGCTTGATCTGGAATTTACTTAAATTTTCTGTCAATAACCGCTGCAGGGTTCATTGCAATGTATGCTACTCTTGCCAGCCGAGATGTGGATTGTTGTTTAATTCCAGAGTCACCCTTCTATCTTGAAGGAAAAGGTGGACTTTTTGAATTCATGGAGAAACGGCTCAAAGAAAATGGGCACATGGTTATTGTAATCGCTGAAGGAGCGGGACAGGAACTTCTTTCAGAGAGAGTGAATTCCACAGATCAGCAGGATGCTTCAGGGAACAGGGCACTCCAAGATGTTGGGTTGTGGATTTGTCAGAGGATCAAGGTAAGATTATCATATTAAGTTAATTTCCTAGTTTTTGCATTTGATTGTCATTTTCTAATCTTACATTTTGCTAACAGCTTGTGGCATCAGGTCAGTGTTCAATGTTCTTAAAACCTAGACCATTCATCAGACTGCAAAAGATGCTAATTAAGGGTCATTTGTTCAACTGCTAGGTCAGCGGAAGTTAAAATGTGATGGCCTAATTGTTCATAAAAATTAATTAGTAAAAAAAGAAAAAGGAAAAAGAAATTACTTATAAAGAAAGAAAAAAATGGGTAAAATTAATTGAAGTGCTTTAAAAGCAACAAATCAATTTGTTTTTGATAAATGATGGGAAAAATGATTTGACAAGCAATATCATGTTTACTTCCTTTCAGGTTTTACACTTGTCGATAAGTCAAAAGTCTATTCTGTCATGAAAAGATCAAGTGACTTCATCTCAGTTAGAATTCCTTTTGAATCAGAACCAACCAATTTTTTCTAGAGTACAGATCTATGGTCCAGGAAATTTTTAACATGTGCATTTCACATTTTCTATTATTTGAAATTTATTGTATTTGGGTACCGAACGACACTTTATCCGATAAGGTATTTATTTGATCATAATTGGATAAAGCCTTTCTGGAAATAATCTCAACTGAAACTATTCAATAAATTCATGTAACTTGATATTGCTGGAAATGTAGTCAGGATTTGCTACTGCGAGATTGCATGGTCTTTTTGGGTGTTGCATCATTGAAAGAGAGTTGCTGATGTTGGGAGTTTTTAGTGGGGAGATCTAATAATTAAATATTCTATGTTATGTTGAAAATCCACCCAATTTTCATGAACCGTGAATGGTTCAAATGAATAACTGGTAAAACACGGGCCCAAGGTTTTTATTCCTTTTAAATAGAATGATTGTGTGGCTAGAATGGTTTGGGGGCTCTTAGAATATGTAATCTTTGGGCGGTTGACGAATTGGGTGGTCCAGCTTTCCCAGTTTAGTCTGGTTGTATAACTTGCTTCCAATTACATGCACACGTATTCCTTGTCCATATGTAAATTTATATGCTTCTCTATTCGGTCTTAATATATTTGTTTATCTTAAATTAAATTCATTAATATTTCATAGGGTAAGTCAACTAATAAAGTTGCCATGTCTATGGTATTTGTTATCCCTTTGTTGTCTTCATATTGGTTGTTTCACGTATAAAATCTCCAGGGTTGGAGTATTCCCTTCTCATAGGAGAAGCAAAGTAGCAACTTGGAATGGTGATCTTAATTTCCTGCTTATTTAGTGGACTGAAACAAAGAACACAATATTTTGTATTGGTAAGGGCATGACAACTTGTCTCCTCCTTGAGATGCCACAGGAATCTTCTCCTTGCCCAGAGAAAGTTCACGAAGACATGCATTCATTTAGTATAATACTCTAATAGTGAAACTGTGTTGGTCGCTTATTGGTTTTCCTTCTGGTTGCAGGATCATTTTACAAAAAATCGCAAGATGGTTACTTGTCTCAAATACATAGGTCAGTAATCTCAGATTCACTTTGTAATTTATTTTGTTTTGTTTTCAATTGGATTCGGTAATCTCAGATTCACTTTGTTGTTTATTTTTGTTTCTTTTTAAATTAGATTTAGAAAAACTTTGCTGATGAATTGGGTATGTTTCAGATCCCACGTACATGATCCGGGCTGTTCCAAGCATTGCATCTGATAATGTGTACTGCACACTCCTCGCTCATAGTGCTGTTCATGGAGCAATGGCAGGGTACACAGGCTTCACAGTTGGGCCTGTCAATGGAAGACATTCTTATATTCCTTTCAATGTAAGTTCCTCCGGATCCTGAAGTACATTTCTTATTTTTTCTGTTTAGTAGTAGATGGTATTATTTTTGGAATTCCACTCAGAATAGAATTGCAGTCACAAAGTAATGTTTGTTTTTGAGGAATACCCAATCAGAAATCTGTACTTCAGATTTCTGATGATGTCAAACTTCCACCTAGAAGCCTGTCTGTTTTGATGTATGGAACATTCAGCGTGTTTGAAAGGATTTCATATCCTTTGAACCTTGTGTGGTGTGGCTGATGATTTCAACGTTAGTAAGCATGCGTTTGAGCCAACCCTATATTCTTAATGCATAGTAAAGCACAATATTTTATTGGAGCTGGCATATGTGTGGAAGAAAATTCTCTTTCTTCTTTTTTCCTTGTTTTCCTCCTCTTCCTCTTCATTTTGTCCCCTTCTGAGTATGTGTTTGTTTTGTTGTGTTTTGTTTTTTGTTGGTTGGTGGGGTAAGGTGGCTTTGCGTAGAAACTATACTGTTTGATAGTCAGTTTTTCACAAAACCAGTGCAGATGGTTGATGGTTAGCATATAAGAAAAGTTACGAGAAATCAACATCAAAGTTTAGTAAATGGGCACTATATTAGATGCTATATGGAACATAACAATATGCCCTGTCAACTGTTTCACTGCACACAGTAAACAGAAACTCTTTTTTTATTTCCTGGATAAGCATAAGTGGCACTATATTACATGCCATATGGAACTGTTCCAATCCATATCCGATTTGTTTAACTAATGGATTATTGAATTCGGATTGCTAACGGATTATTAGAGTGAATGTTCCAATCCATATCTTAATTATTTCAGATTCGGATAGAAATCGGATCTATTGACATGTTTAGTTATAAGGTTAGTTGGAGTGGAGAGTTGTTAATATATAGGATGGTGCATCATATGAATCTAATGGTAGAGCATCATGTGAATCCAATGGTAGATAATTACTATATATATTTTTAATGATAAATAACTAATATATATATATATATATAACATATATTTATAGTATATTATAATTTCATATCCGATTTGTTAAAGGTAACGGGTTATCGGATTTTTTATTCAATCCATATCCGGATAATCGGATCGGATTCGGATCAAAATCTGATCCATTGACATGTTTAATTCAATGGACCAAAACAATATGCCCTTGTTTTGTATGTGTGCAGCGTATCACTGAGAAGCAGAACAAAGTTGTGGTAACCGACAGGATGTGGGCAAGGCTCCTTTCTTCAACCAATCAGCCGAGCTTCTTGAGTCCGAAAGATGTCATTGAAGCCAAAGAAGAGGAAGAGCCTCCAACCCAGTTGCTGGATGGTGAGAACTGTAAGGATGATGACCAATCAGGTAAGGTAACGACATTGCCAGCATGACATGATCATAGAGCACTTGAGTAGTTGTGTTTACATCAGTAGCCGCTGCAATTGATCTCCATGCCACCTTTGAATATGCAGCTCTATTAGGATGCTTCAACTGCATGCCAGTGACTTTGTAAATGGAAAGATTACATGTAGTGGTTGTGGAAATATATCCTATCAACCAAGTTCTTCTGAGAAATATATTTGTGGACCAAGATTCTTCCTACTAGGCAACGGCATTAAACCTTGTGGAAATTCTGGTTTTAGTGTTTGGTGACACTTTCTGTTTCCACAATTTTGTGAGCAGAATTTTTGCAATGATATTTTAGTCGAAATTTTCCATGCTTCAAGGTTTACGATTTGCTACGTTATTCCTTAATGCTCTATGTGGTTGGAGGGAATGAGGCATCCCTAGGAAAGGGAAGATGTATATCTTATTTTTTGTTTAGTTGAATGGAAAAGATAGTAGAAATGAGAATTTTTATATATTTTTACCAATGACCCTTATTATACGTTTCAGATGATTTCAGTTGAGTTTAACAAATGATTTTGTAAGTAATTGAAGTTTAAAATTGGTGTTCCATATTTGTAGGGTAACTTTTCTTCTTTCCCTCCCTAAAAAACTTTTCAAAAACATGGGCTAAGAAGTTCAATCCTTGCTTGCTTTCTCCCTCTCTTCCCTTCCAACCAACCAAAGTAAGATTCTTATATCCCTCCTCCATCCTTCAAACCAAACATAGCATGAATTTGCTAGTCATGAACCTCAGTTCAAGTTGTCTCCAACAAATATATTGCTGCTGCTACAATAGGAAGGCGTGCAAACAATAAAGTGAAACTATTTTTGTCAAATGACCAAATTTTGAGCAAATTATACTTTCCTCCCTTGAGGCTTGCCAAAATAACGAGGACCTTTCCTCTAGTTTGAAAAATTACACCGATCTAATGAGATTAGATTGAATCTTAGAGGGATAAAGATATGTGATTGCATGTTGCCAATTGATAACTATCTCCTATTTTGGGCGTGTATTTGCTTGAACTTATGTTTTGTTTAGTTAAAAATCAAAATAGCTTCAAAGTCAACCCCAAGGTAGTCAGCCATGGCCAAGAAATTTTTATTACTAACGATGGTCACGAGTCTCAACTATGATGAAGAAGAAATAGTTATGGTCAAGGCCAACGGAAACTAACCCAATGGCGACGTAAATGAATAAAGTGAGACCAAATATAGAGATTCAAATTCACCATAATTAAAATTCAAATAAAGGTTCAAGACCAAAGTCCAACTCATGGTTAGACAATACAATGATATGAGTTTCAACATACTCGTCAAGAAGTTAGGGTCAAGATAAATTTTATATCTTCTTACATCATGGGGATTGAACTAAGATTTGGTTTGAGTCAAAACAAAGACTAATCACGAATTTCAAGGTCACGAGAACCCAAGAGTCGGGGCTAAAAATTCAAAGGGCCGCCAACTAAGAGCATCTGCAGCGAGCTTGCAATCTGGCTCTTTTTGCGAGTAAGCAGGCCAAACGCGTTGCAGCGGGCTGGCACTAATTGGGCGGGCACACATGGGCTCGCAATCTGGCTCGCGGAATAATGTGAGCCCAAGCCCAATCGGGATAATTTTTTTTTTATTTTTTTATTTTTTTCTTTGCCAAAACGCCATCGTTTTGGGCGAAGCAAATATATATATATATATTTTAAGTTCAGCTACAACGGTTAAGGCACTATTTGACAGCATGGGGTTTTCTGGAAAAAAATCCAAAAATAAGTTATTTTGAGCTCATTTAATTTATTATTTTTTAAATTCGTTAAATAAAAAATATATTGTTTAGGCACTGTTTATCCAAAAAAAAAAAATTGATTTTGGCCAAAAATAAATTTAAAAACTTTTTTTTTCCCTTAAAAATTGATTTTTTATTTTTTATTTTATTTTTTTGCTTTAAATTTAAATTTCGGCCACAAACAGGGCATTTGGCCGCTAAGGCACTGTTTGTCTGACACAAACAGTGCCTTAATAGCTAAAATTTTTAAAAAAAAATTTAAGAAAAATTAAAAATTAAAAAATTATTTCTCTTCTATAAATACCCTAACTCTTACCACCATTCTAATTCAGGATATTGTATTGTTTAAGTTATTTTTAATTGTTTTCTTTAATTTTTTTTTTTTTTTTTAATCCATAATGGATAATGTATTGCATAAAGTTATAATATCAATCCTAACTTTTTTAATAATTTGCAAAGATATTGTTTAATTAAAAAATATTACCGTTGAGAAACAATTTCATCATTTTTAATATTAAAAAATCATTACATAATAAAAAATCTAATACATGAAACATAGCCATAACAAATATAACCGTCAAGAATATAGTTATTAGAAATATAGCCGTTAGGAAAAAGTTTTTTAAGAAAATTATTATTATTATTATTATTTTGAGAGCGGAAATCCGGAAAGTCGGTTTTTAGAGAGTGAAAGCTGCTGATGTGGCTCTTGGAATTGCTAATGTAACTCTTGACAAAAAAGTAACATTTTTAAAGAGTCAAAATCCAGGGATGCTGATGCGCATTAACCATGTAAATTACTAGCCATGCTGAGATTTTATTTGAAATCAAGCAGTCAAGTTTTTTCATTACAAAAGAGCCGTTTGAGTTTTTTATTTACAAAATGGAAACAAAGAAAAGTGGATGATTTGGGCACACATTGGCTAGCTAGAAAAATGGGCTGGTCCTAGATGAAAATGCTGTGCCAACATCAACATGTATTTTATCTATACATGGAGAAGAGTGCAAATCTCACAAAATAAGCTCAGCAAAGTGGTTAGGAAATGTCGTTTTCAACCTGCATCAACGACTTTCTACAATAACAGATTGAGAGAGACAACACCATTTCTGATCAATCAAAACTTTGTAATTCATTTATCATTGTAATCACTTCAAAGATTAGTCAAAAAATTGATTAACTTACGTGTTAATAGTTGTATTTGAATGTTTGAAGAAGTCTGTCCTTAAACAATTAAGAGTCACCACCGGTTAGGTCGAGAACTCCCTGATTCATTTTGACTCCCCCTTGTTTCAGGTCAACCGCCCGTGTTTCCGGTCAACCAATTATGTAAAACTTTCTATATTACCCACCTACCATCTTAAAACCTAGTTTCTGTTCAATAATAAAGAAATAAACTTGCTAAAATAATCTTATTTTGAGTACTAGATAACAAGAGGGTAACAAATTGATTCAAAAGAATATTATTTCTGCGAGTGACTACTTTAATTCACAACAAATGACGAACTTCAACACGTTGTTTTTGACACATTCTTAATCCCAGGCACCGTAAAGGAAAATAACTCCCAAGGATCATATACCTACAATTTGTATAGCTGAATGATACAGCCCAGATATATCCCCCTTACCATTACATCACATACACATATTTTGTATTACAAGACATTCGCCTTATCGAAGACTGCACTCATCGAACACCTCATCAACCTCTGTATACACCAGAAGGATCAGCGTTTTGGACGATCCATGGATGCTCAAGAACCTTGTGCAGTGGCAAGCGTTGTGAAGAATCCTTGACGAGCATCTATTGTCATTCGAAAAAGAAAACGAACGAAAGAAAGTCAGAATCGCAACCATTTGGTCTTTTTAGAGACTGGTAAAGTTAAACAGATACATTAAAGTTGGCATGTAAAACTTATAATTTAAGTGTATTTTCTGAATAAAAATTATGACCTGACTAATTAGATCTTTTGCTGCTGAAGAGACGATAGGCTTTGGAGGGAACTTCAAATCAACTTGCACGATCCTGTACAAAAAAGTAGTTGAGCCAAGCCCGCATCAGTAAGGTTAACATATTTTTAAGAGTAGGTAATAAGCTTCCCCATCAGTAAGGTTAACATATTTTTAAGAGTAGGTAATAAGCTTCCGACGCGACATTGTTATGCATTTTGCATTTCAACTATACCTTCTGTATGTATCTGAATGTTCCTTTGCTTCAAAAGGAGGGACTCCATAAAGAAATTCATAGCATAAGACACCAAGACTCCAGATGTCCACACTTGCATCGTGCTCCACACTCTCCACTGTAAACACAACATAGGACGACTGTCAATTAGTACAAAATCACCTAAACAACACGGAGATATTCTCATTTCATGTTGCACATTTTGAGTCAGCAAAATATGTTAACAACGCATAATCCATAATTATTATATACTGCCAAATACAAAATAGAATTGGTGAACAAGATATATCAAGGAATTCGAGTATAATTAATCTAGAAAATAAGATAAACTTTAGAAATTTTACAGGCCAAGCAAAAACATTAAGTAATTAGATAAATTTGTAAGCTACATAATAAACTCATGCACCCAACTACAAAGCAGACTTGGTTTAAAAGTGATTAGTTCCAGCTGTAAAGGATTTCAAAGTATACTTAGTCCCACCCAGGGAGATTAAAACACAAAATTAAAGCTGGTAAAATAAAATTAAAACACAAACTATTGGCAGCCTACATACTATGGGCAGGTGGGCAGGCAAGCATGCTGTAGCATCATGATCTATATAAACCTAAGAAGTAACAGATTAGTGCAACATTCAGAACGATAAGCTACTCACTCTACCCATAATGCGAGGCATGACTAATAGTAAGTAAAAAATTGTGGCACTAAGATGATTAAGAAAGAATCTTATGACTAATCTTGTACCGAAATACTTTTGAATGTAATAAGAACCCATGTATAAAATAATCAAAGATTTCAAGGTTTATATAATTACTGCTGCAGCTCAGGAAAGAGATTAGACACGAATAATATTGAAAAATAGATGAATAAATCAAGCTAATCATTTTTCGAGTTCAGTAGTGAATCACATAAAGTAAAGACGAGGATCTAATCTACTGCAATTCTGCATGTGTCTGGTGCATTCATCACTGTCAGGTGATATATCTTTTCTAAATACCCAAAAAAGTTATATGATTAACAATTATCGGCTTTAGAAAATACAGACCTAGCACATTTTAGATAGCAATTCCAGTAGCTAAGGAAAAGAAGAGCAAATTGCTTGCATCTCCTGAATAAACATACCCATCTCAGGTGGAAGGTAATCCAGCGTGCCACACATGGTCTGCCTACGGTTGAATGTGTGCACTGACCACCCAAAATCTGCAATCTTAAGTTCTCCCTGACAAAGAGCTAATACTGTGAGCACATCGATCATCAATTAGGAAATAAAACAACCATAGAACATTTTTGGTTATAACCTGTGCCCCAACCAAAAGATTCTCTGGTTTTATGTCTCGGTGTATTACGTGCTTTCCATGACAATATATGAGGGCCCGAGCCAACGATGCAACATACTGTCCCCATGCCCCACATGCACACGAACCACAACTTTCAATCAGTTTTTGCACAAAAAGAAAAAAAGTGAGAATGTTAATAGTGACAGTTCATGGCAGAAAATGCGTATAAAGTTTTCCCAAATTCATAAAAAACCATAGATGTATTTCAATTCCATTGAAAATGCAATGGCAGCCAAGACATGAGGTTTTTATCCTTCAAAACCCCCTAAAAGTAACCTAAAAACACAACTTACTATATGTAGGTATCTCCTCTACCTTCTTAAGTGGAAGGTCGAGGGTTCAAGTCCCGTTAGGGACAAAAAATGGGTCCATGAGTAACAACTAGGAAAAAAATCCAAAATAGAAATGGGTGCCAAGGGAAACAAACTCACAGTAGCAGCACGCCTTTCACTGAAGAATTTACACTTCTGTAGTTCCTTGTAAAGTTCACCCTTGGCTGCATATTCCAAGATCAGATAAACTCGTTTCTGCAATGATTATGTTATGAAAGAGATAATCGGGTCAGATGATTATGTAACTAAATTAAAACTGAAAAGAAGAGCAACTTTGCTTGATCATGCTAGAAACCGGGCCTCTAGCCCGAATGGTATGATCTCTCCTCCTCAAAGGGCTCTAATTCTCATCCCCATTAGGGACATGTTTGGGGTAATGGGTGTGTGTGTTTGCTTTAACTTCAGGAAAAAATAAATAAATCTCTACCTGATCATAGAAGTATCCATAAAGGCGCAATATATTGGGATGTCTAAGATGGCTCTGAATTTCTACTTCCCGACGAAGCTGGTGTTCAACCTGGGACTGCTTAAGCTGGCTCTTGAAAAGCACCTTTAAAGCCACAATATGATTGCTCTGTTTCAGGAAGAAATTTAGATTGCACGTGAGTGGAAATTGCCAAAGAGTGATGAATTCATTTTACAAACTGAAGCCCCAGTGGGTCTTTGTTGCTTACTTACCAAAAGAGAAAACATATCAAGCTAGTACAAGAAACACAAAATTCACACAGTAGTCATGAAAATTAGTCACAAGTATTATTTTCTGCTGCAATAAGGTGATATTGAAAAGCTTTAAAATCATACTCTCAAGCAATATAGCACTAAGATTCATTATTTTCTGTTATCTTTTATTATCTACTTGATCTATTGAGGATACATGGAATGTAACTTAAATATCCAAGATATTATAAACATATTAGATGGTTTCACAGTCACGTGAGGCAACATGATTGTTTTCTGACAAAGTTTGTAACTTATCGTATGGTTTGACCTCTTTACACCTCTAGATATTATCAAAGTGAAGGAAGGTAACTTATACATTGTATGAGAGAATAGGCTACATAGTGATCGTATGGTTAGTATCCATAGTTCCAAGATACTAACAAAACAAGTTCATGTGTAAGAAAATAACTCATTATTCTTTTAATAAAGTCACATGTTCTTCAAGGAATACCTGGCACAAAAAGCAATCTCATCTCTTAAACCATTTCCTTTAAGAAATGGAGACATTTAATTGGACATTTAGTAATTAGGCGTACTACCAAAGTAAAACTACATTTCTTTTTTCAAGAATGTTAATGAGTCAAACCGCTCATCAAGGATATAATTCGTACAAAAAGCAATTTTGTCTGTTAAACCACTTCCTTCGAGAAAAGGAGATTTAGTTAAAGAACTAGTAATTAGGTTTAGTATGAATGGGAAAACCAGAAACTTTTCACGGATTCTCAATTCTTATCATAGCAAAAAAAAAAAAAAAAAAAAAAAAAAAAAAAAAAAAAAAAAAAAAAACTTGACATCTGGAAAGTAATGTTTTATTCGTATATCTACAACAACTTACAGAAACAGATTCACTTGTTTTTTTTTTTTGTGACAATCAAGTCTGATTCTCAAGCCTAAAAAGTCAGGATCCAATGCCTAGCCAAAGGGGGCAAACGTTGCTTTTATTATTTTGGATACGTTGATGGAGAGATCTGATTTTGACCAAAGAGTAATGCTCATTTTAGTTTTTACAAGAGGATGAAAATGGGGAACTTAAATCATAATAAAATAAGATCTCTGAACCAATTTGTTTACTTTGAGAAAATTAGGCCTCTTGACCTTCTTGTATGTGGAACGGCTTTCCAAACACCCAAACCAATTCAACCAAACTCAGAATGATATCAAATCCAAACCATTTCATGGAATTTGATTTGCATTCCACTAATACTTGGAGCTGAACAATGTAAAAATCATTTCCCCTCCAATAATTATATCAATGGTTCCTTATAAAGACAGTACCTCAAACATTTTTTCCCTGGTTGATACTCACATGCCCCAGTACCTCAAACTTTGTTCGACACCCCTAACTATTTTCATTCATGTTTGTCATGCGTCGTGTCCTGGATAGAGGATGGATTTGTTCAGTTCATGACAACTAAATTTGCAATTTTCAAATAAATTGGCGTAGATTTGAGATTGTAACTGTAGTGCAGTCATCTCCATTGTCTGATGCATCGGGATCAGTAGACGCACGTTCAGAATTCTTGTCACTCTCTTTACAGGGAATTTCTTCTTCATCACTGGAGTCTGAAGGATTTTTAGCCACTTCAAAGAGTAGTTTTTCTCTTAACTCCGATTTGACAACATTAGGATAGTGGTTTTTCAGTGATTGCTTCAAGCTAGATAATTTATCTGGCTTAGATGAAGCAGACAGAAATATGCTCATATTAAAGTCAAGCTCACCATTTCAAAGCATATTGCCTCGCAAGACAAGGAGATCCATGATCTGTAGTATCAACTGCATATTGTCATGCTAATCCATGGTGCTGAGTTACACGAATTCCATGGAAGGATTAATGTCATAGTTGCAAGATTTGTCAAGAAATTCGTTATATTTGACGCAAGCTTATTTAAGTTTTTCAGGAAAAATATCCGGACTAGGGCCAAATTGTGCCCACCAATCTAGAGGGATCGAGACCCCATTCTTTTCAGAAAATTAAATGCAGTATCTTGATTTGAGAATTATCGATTGGATTGTGGGGTTTATCCCAACAGCATTGAATTCTTGCAAATTGAGTAGCCGGAATAATTTCTTCGTAATATTAGCAAGAATTTATGGGCTAATGATGAAAATCATCTGGAAGATAATTCCTTAAAAATTATTAAGCTTTAATTGGTTTTCTAAGCTTTGTATCATTTACACAAGCAATTAACATTGTCAGAACATAGTTAAGTTTTAAAAATAGACCAGACTAAAGAGGCATAGATATTCAGTTGATCAATATATCCTTAAAACAAAACTTAGATCAAACAAGAATTAGAATATAAGAAATGGGAATTAAGAACACAGACCCTCTTTTCTCTTGCTAGATAGACGTGTCCAAACTTTCCCCTACCAAGAGGCTTTCCAATGTCGAAGTCATTGAGAGTCCACCTTCTTTTCTCCACTGTTGTCACCTCTGAAGAAGCCTGCAGAAAATAAAACTATGATTCATGACCCACCACATTCAAAGTAAAAAAAAAAAAAAATGTAAGTAGAGTCTAACCAGTAAACCTGCTTTTCTTTTTTCACCTCTACCCATGAGTGATTTTTATGTGCCCAAAATAAAATATTACAATATCTCGTCAGTTAGCTTAGGGGAATCTTTACCGAATGTAAAAAAACCCTCCCTTCTGAGAAGAGAATTTAAGACAGAATGATGAAAATCCTATAAGCAGAAGCTCATGGATTTTACTTTGACCTTAAGAAGACCCTAATCCCAAAACTTAGATGATGCATTTACCGATGATGGTTACTCTGAACGAAAATTTAACCTCCAAAAGCTTGCATTCCAAAGAAAGAAAGTAGAGTTGGGAAAATATAATATACACACACAAACACACATATATTATAACATTAATCCTCCGTTTGGTTGCTGAGAAATCCAGAAAAATTTGCAAAAACCTCGTTTTTATATCGGATTCAGTGCAATTGAATAGAAAATTTTGATCTCCTCTTCTCACCAATAAATAATCTAAGATTCAAAATTAATTAATTTTTTCTCTCTAGCTTTTACCAGAACCCAAACGGATCGTAAAGGCAAGAAAGGAAAATGTAATCTACTCCTGCAACTGCTAGCATAAGAAACCTGGGCGTTTGAAAACTTCTATGTACGAACAAAGCATGTTCACTAAAAATTGAAGGCATGATTATAATCAAAATGACACACACAAAAAAACCCCTAATTTAAGACAAAACCCTAAGATTTAACATCGTATAAAAAAAACCCTAAAAATTACCTGCTGCTCTGGCTGTGTCTCTGTGGCGACGGCCATGGAAAGAGAATTCTTTTAGATAGAGAGAGAGTGTGTGTGTGTTTCAGAGAGAGAGAGAGAGAGGGGTCGATGGTGGGGAGAGAGAGAGAGGTGGAGAGCAGGACGGAGGACATAGAAGAGATGTAATATTTGTTTTTTGGTTTGAATAGAGTAGATCTGCAACGGTCATATTTGTAGAATTGACACTTGGTCCAATCGCATCCAAGTGTCTTTTCAAAAATTTTAAGCTTGAGGAGCGTAGTGGAGAATCTTAAACCAAAATAATTCTATGTGGACCCATCAACCAAGTTTTGTGTTTTTTGTTTTGTTTTTTTATTGCATTGTATTTTTATTTTATAATTCATGTGTCTCTCAAAAAATAAAAAATAAAAACCAACAAAATAATAATAATAATAATAAACAAAAATAAAAAACAAAAAAAAACTTGCACATTTTCCTTCGAAATCCGATGTGGTGGCTATATGTACAAGGGTCATTTGTCTCACATCGAATCCAAATGAGAATGGGTATGTACTCACCAACTTGAGTTTTTAGGTAAATGGACAAGCGTCCACCCGTTACAGTTGATATTAAAGTCAGACCCAATCATTGGTTTGATGCCACGCCAAGCGCTCGGCCCGCCCGGGTGACTTACCCAGGTAGGCAAGATGGTCTAACCGCAACAAGGGCGTTATGAGTTCGGGTGCGAGAGAATGTTACGAGGGTCATTTGTCCCACATCGAATCCGAATAAAAATATAATTGAGTATAAATGAGTGAATATAAAGCACCACCTAATAACTTGAATTTACTGAGACTGAGGTAGTAGTTATATATGTGGCATGCATTCATTCTAAAATTTAAAAATAAAAATAAAGGAAAATAATAATGGGTTAATATATTGTTTCAAAACAAAAATGGAGTTTGAAAAAATAATGCTAGACGTTAATTAAATAAATTAAATAAACCATCTTAAATAAAATAAAAGAATAATGTCACAATTTGAAAGAAAAATTCATATTCTAATTTCAAGGAAAAGACTTGGAATTAATAAGTCCCATATCAATTGAAGAAAAAATAAACCTCAGCCATATTTTCATAAATCCAGTTAAAAATCATTAATTCAGCCAAAAAATTTATTAAAAAAAAATCTTAAAAAATTTTGTTTAAAATTGACCTAATGTACGGAAAAGAGGTAAATCAAATTTGGTGTCAAACTAGCTAAGAGCAGCTCCATTGGTGCGTCTTATAGCGATTTTGGGCCAAAAAAATAGAGACCAGCTACTCCATTGGACTAGCTGAAATGTGGGCCACAATATTTGGGTCTCCAAATGGGCGCCAAAAATGACGACCTTGTTAGCGATTGCAGGCTCACTTTTGCGGGCCCGCCCATTTTTTTTTTGTTTTTGAACTTTTGTGGCCCAGCAACACTGTAGCCCATAATAAATTTAAGGGTGTGTTTGGCTGTGAAAAATATTCCAAAAACCAATTTTTTTTTGGGTTTTTTTTCTTTTTTTTTTTTTTTCTTTTCTCTCAACATAATTGAACTAAAGAGCCGTGGCTAACACAAACAGTGCCTTGAAGGCTTTTTTGGGCAAAAAAAGTTTTAAAAAATTAGGAAAAAAGTTATTTTTTTTTCCTTTTCAAAATTTTCAATGTTCCTATTGATGTTATAGCCGTTTTAGGTACTGTTTGGCAAAACAAATATTTTTTTTTTCCTTAACAAATTGAAATTTATTTTTAAATATGATCTTTTATTTTTTTTAAAATGTGTCTTTGTTTTCACCTCTATAAATTAATAAATCAAATAATATTATATATTGTATTGTTTACAATATTTCATACATATTGGCTAAATAATTTAAAATAATTGTTTATATAAGATGAAAAATATAGCCGTTATAAATATAGCCGTTCGGAAAAATTTAAGAAAAAAATAATTTATTAAAAATTTAAAAATATTAATATTTTTGGAAAGCGAAAACGCACAATTGGAGTACATGTGAAATCTAAAATTTGGAAACTTTAAAACGCTGATGTGACTATGGGAAATGCTGACGTGACGGCTATTGAAAAATGCTGATGTAGAAAATCAAGAGAGCCTAATTTTAGAGAATTTATTGGAGATGCTCTAATGTGTATTTCAACAACGTGTACTTTTTTTTTTGGGATAGCCCAGGGTATGTGAGGTTTCTCCATGACTAATATTTGATGACCCAGAAGGGCGCCTTTCTACCTCGGATAAGTCGCTGAGTATGACAATGGAGGTGTGGCCCCAAGTAATCGTAATTTCCTAATGAGAATCAAACCCCAAACTTGGGACGAAAAAAGCACCAAAGCCCTAATAAGTGATTTTACCACTAGACCAACTCTCTTGGGTTTGACAAAAATCATACTCCTCCCGTTCCAAAATAGATGTCGATTTTGGTAATTGTGACTCACAAATTCATTTTTGGAATCGAAGAAGTATTATTTACAAATGATTGTTATTTAAATTGTGATAATCTTGAGACTTTGGTTTGTAATTATGGAAATAGTTTTTTGTTTTTGAAAATTGAAAACTATACAAAAATTTTTATTTGATTCAATTTTCTGAAAACTATTTTATGAAAACTCAATTATAAAAATATCTGTTTTCAAATGTTCTCTGAAAATTGTTCTTTATTCTTTTTTTTAAATTCAAACCAAACCAGCATGCCCTTGATTTTTGTTTGGATTCCTATTTTGAGAGAGCATGAAGTTGTTTTATCGAGGGCGTTACACCCATTAAAAATTTTCCTACCACATGTCACGCCCTCACCGCCAACAGTCATGCAAAGCTGCCCTAACCCACCACCTGGAGGCACCACCACCACCTCCCCCCCATTCTAGAATCCCAGGCCCATCACACATCACGAGAAGATCACATTAATTCTGACATCTCACCACCTCTCCCCATTCCTACTTTGTGTGTATGTACACGCACATACACACAGTCACATACTACTACCAGTACCAGCCTATATATATAGCATTCTCATTTTATCACTCTTTCCAATCAATTCATCAAATAACAATTCCAATCTTTGCTAAATTTCAATCACAGCTGCCCATCATGTCTGATCAATCAAAACCCATGTCCCAAACACTCTACGAGTCCACCCCAAACTCAACCCAGATCATCAGATTCTTGACCGCAGCAACAATTGGTGCTGTGCTATTATTCCTGTCCGGGTTAACACTAACCGGGACAGTGATAGCCCTGATCATTGCTACCCCGGTTATTGTTTTGTTCAGCCCAATTTTAGTCCCGGCTGGGATAGTGACATTCTTGGCCATCGCCGGATTCTTGTTTTCCGGCGGGTGCGGCGTGGCGGCGCTGATGGCATTGTCTTGGATATACAAGTATATCGCCGGAAAAAACCCGCCCGGGGCGGACCAGCTGGACTCGGCGAGGATGAGGATTGCGAATAAGGCTAGGGATATGAGCGAGAGGGCTAAGGAGTATGGACACTATGTGCAGCAGAAGACTCAGGAGGCCAGTCAGGTCTCATGAGTTGCAATCGTTTCTTGTGGTGGTAGTGTGTGATATGTGTGTCTGAATTAGCTTTTATTTTTTTTTAATTTTTTTTTTTTGGGGAATTTTTTTAAGAGTCTACGCATTTTAGTACTAATCTCACGCTACCTAAAATTCTCGGTAAATTAGGGTTAGGGCTGGATTTAATAATGCTGATATGATCGCACCCCTGTTTTACACAGGGTTATGCTTATGTAATTGTTGTGTGCTGTTGCAGTGCATTGGTAATGTGGTGGGTATTGTTTTTAATTTTGGAGCTAGCTCAATTTGTAGATGGGCTCTTTGTTGTGCAATGACTCTCTCTCTTCTCTACAAGTCTAAGTTGTTTTTGCCTTTAATTGATGATTTTGTAGCAAAATAAGTAATGAAGCCGGTAAAAAGAAAGAGTAATGAAGTTTATTATTTTCAATTTTTTTATTTTTTTCTGAAAGGTTAGCAATTTCTATATATAAAAGAAGTGTACATGATGAGTCCACAGCCCATTACAGGCAATGGACAGTGATAGGGACCATATGTGGTCATGAAAAAACACAAATTGGGAAGGCCCAAACAAGACCAATACGCCTAACAGGTCAATAAAGGCCCAAGAACCCAACTAGGCAATCCGTAACCGTTGCTTTTATAATGAAATTTTTTATTAGGTTTTGTTTGATACGTGTTTTATTGTTTGTATTTTTGTTTTTATCGGGAACTGTAATAATGAATGGTGAAAAAAAAAAATGAGTTTGGTAAAAAAATGAGTATGAATCCTTTAAGTTAAAACTTTTAAAAGTTGATTTTTTCACTGAACGACGTGTGTCATTTAAGATAGGAAAACTTTTAAAATATCTTAACGATGTTAACTCTCTCTCTTCTTCTCTCCAATAAGATCGCTTGTAATTCTGTTTATTTTAGTAATTTATTACTATTATTATTATTATTATTTTGTGAGTTAAGCGGCTTGTTATCAAGCCTTAAAATCATTTTTTTCCCCCTAAATAAATGAATGTCTTCAATGTTCCACTTAATTATGATTTACACGAGTAATTCTATTATTAAAATAATCCATGTTTTAAAAAAAACACAACAACACAACGTTATAGGTAGACTAAGGTTAAAAGATATGTATGATTTACGGGTTATTGCATAGAATATTCAAAGTTTACAAACCATCCAAAAATTTAAAATATTTACCGTGTGAGTTGATTCTTAATGGATATGGTCTTCATTTATTTATTTATTTATTTATTTATTTATTTATTTATTATTATTATTATTATTATTATTATTATTATTATAAATTAGTAAAATAAACAGTGTTACCCAGGGATCTTGTTGCAGAGAACAAAGAGAGTTAACGTCGTTAAGATATTTTAAAAGTTTTTCTATCTTAAAACGATGTAATTTCCTAACTTTTATTAAATTAACTGAAGTGATTTAATATAAATCATAAATACATTTTAAATGACACATGTCGTTGTGTAGAAAATTCAACTTATGATAACTTGGAAGAATTTTAACTTAGAAGATCTAAGTCCTTTGTAAATAGTGGTCAAAATTTGAAACCTTAATTTAAATAGCAATTACTGTAACGACAAATAGTAAAAAAATTACAAAAATTTTTAAATTATGTTTTAAAACTAACTATTATATTTTAAAAACTTGCAATATGTTTTTACCAATTAACTTTTTTTATATTTTTGCTTCTTTATGTTTTGGGTTAATTATAATGACACCTCTTGAGATTTACCTTATTAACAGTCAAATGAAAGTTAGTCTATTTTTGAACATTCACCACCCCTCAAGTTTGACAAAGTTAACAAAGGCACCCCTTTGCCACATCTGATACAATGAGTTGTCACTATTGCCCTTTGACTTGATAGTGGACTTGCTTGGACCATAAAATTACATTTTTAACTTTTATAATTCATTAATTAGACCAAACTACCCTTATATGCAACAAAAAAAAATGTCAGTAAAAAATGTAGGTGAAATTCACCTTCAAACCCATGTACAATCACCATTATCACCACTCCACATCCCCACCACCACCCATATATACATCATTAAATCCAGCATAATCATCATCCAAATCCACACAAGCACAAATCAAAATCCACATACATGTAAGAATAAATCTCATATATAGACATACAAATCCCCATATTGAGAGAGAGAATCACGCAGAATCTCACAGATACATATAATAGATACATATATATATATATATATATATATATATATATATATATATATATATGTGTAGATCTGTAATTCTAGAATTCTATAAATTGCGTGAATTTTCAACACGTTGAGAGAAGTTCATGGTTGATTGGTTAACGTTAAGCTGGTGGTGAATTATTTGAGTTCCTATGTTTCTGTGTTCTTATGGGGGAAGTGGTAGAGTGGTGGCAGTGGTGGTGGTTGAAGTGGTGGAGTGTGGCCCGAAAGAATGTGCACTGGGTATAAAATTAGGTTTGCAATGGAAAAATTGTTGCAACGATATTCCGACGTTGGTTGCTGGTGGCGAAAGAGAAACAGAGCTTCTTCTGGGTTCGCTGGGGAAGAAGATGAAGCACACAAGTGGGTGCAACCCCACGCGCGGCGACGGAGGGGTGCATGAACCCATTCCAGTGGCGGTTAAGGCCAGAAAATGAGTGATCCAACCCCACGATACCATCTCCATCCCTTCGACGATGACAATCTGAGACTTACAGGGCTCAAATTCAATGCAATCTGGACTAATATGGAACTCCACATCATACCTTGTTGCTCGTCTTCAACACCGACTAGAACAACGATTTCTCCGATTACGTTCAAGGTGGTGGTTTCACAAGGTGGCCGTGGTGGGAGGAAGTGCAGTGGCCATGGTGGTGATGGTGTATATGAGGTTGAGAGGTGGTGGTAGTGGCGGCCATGTTTTTTGGGGCAGTGGTGGTAGGTGAGGGTGGGACAGGTGCCCTAAAACATGTGAAAAATAATGATGGGGTATTTTGGTATTTTGGTTATGTAAATATTATGATATTTTGGATTAAGAAATTATTATTCTATTGAAGGGCAATGGTGTCTTTTTATACTTTTTTAAGGACTGTTTGGAAGCAATTCTTGATAAGGGGTGTGAGTGTTTAAAAAAAGGTCAATTATCATTTGTCTGTCAATAACACAAATCTTTAAGGATGTGAGTGTAATTAATATTTATATTTTTTACTTCTAAAATTTTTACAATAAGTCCACGTTACCAAATACTTTTTGAATATTGAATGAACCCATAACGAAATAGGTTATTGTAAATGGATAAGCCCATAACAAAATTTTGAATCCATTTAATACATATATTTTGACTTTATACAGTGTCATTTAACTACTAACCGATAAAAGGGAATGATAAGTTTTGTCTTATAAACGTGGGCCACTCAGCAAAAAAAAAAAAAAAAAAAAAAACGTGGGCCACCCACTTTGCTTTGCTATGTTGGAAAGTAATGAGAGAAAGAATAGGAGACGAGTCATGTTTTTTTTTACAAATTTTTATTAATCCAATTGCGAGTGGAATAGGGGTGGGATGACAAATGTTATTATGAAAGGTTTAAATTGGAATACTATTTTAAATTATAATATAGATAATGATGAGTGTAATGATAAAAATAATTAAAAATTCTAACTTTCTTTAGCTTTTAACAAATAAACAGTAAATTAATTGTGAGTTTATTATTATTTTTTTTATTTCATTAAATCGAACCCAAAAAAACAAAAACAAAAACAAAAACATAATCTAAGAATATCTATCTCTCATTCATCTATTATTCTCTTCCACCTATTCAAATTTTTTCCACCCATATATAGGAGCAAGGAGAAACTGATTTGCACAACAAAAAGCAGTGTGTTTTCCTGCAAAAAAGAATCAAACTAGTGAATTTGAAATTCTTTAAAGGCATCTTGACCCGAGGACATAGGTTGGAGTGTTCAACCTCGTTATATTGCAGAGTTTGATTCTTTCCTATTACAATTTGCGCATAATGCTCTTAAATTGTCGTATATCACTTGCACATAATAATAATCGAAAAGAGTTCCATAATTTGCCATTAAACTTAATTCACCCCGTTGGATTGATACTCTTTGTTAAATCTTCGTTATTGATAAAATAAAATAAAAATAATAATAATAATTCATATTTTCTATAATCTTTCCAATTAAAGAGAAATCTTGAAAAAATATCTCTGAGACTTGAAATAATTTATTCTGCATTTTTATAGATATATTATCATATGAGTATATCACTTGCACATAATAATAATCGAAAAGAGTTTCATAGTTTGCCATTAAACCTAATTCATCCTTTGGATTGATACTCTTTGTTAAATCTTCAATATTTATTAAAATTTTCATATTTTCTATAATCTTTCTAATTAAAGAGAAATCTTGGAAAAATATCTAAGAGACTAGAAATAATTTATTCTGTATCATAGGAGTATATTGTACTAAATCTTGAGAAAATATCTAAAAGACTTGCTAGAATTTATTCTACTTTTTTCTAGATATTATCATGACTATATTGTACTAAAATAAAAAATAAAAAAATTGTAGACTCATGTAAAAATAAAATAATCTAGAGAAAGTATAGATGAGAAGTGGGCTATAAATATCTAATGAGATTCTTCTTCACAACTGCTATAAATACATAATTTTTTTTTATATAAATATTCCATTTCTCAATTCTCTATAATCGGATTTAGATTTGATCAAAACCCTAATTAGTAAAACTAATATTGATTAGATTTAGAAATATTGGCTTCTTATAGGTTTTCCTAGTTGATAAGAAGTTGTTGAAATTGTAAACTTTAATAATTCGTATTAAGCCATTAATCACAAATTTACATGAATCACATATCTTAGAACTTTATGATTTTCACATATCTATAATGTATAAACAAATGGTTAGATATAAATACCTCGATTCATGATATCAAACCTTGTTGAGATTTAATCCAACGTCTAGATCCTTTAACCACGAACTAATCTGCAACTCTGATCAACAGGCAAAGGTGGAAACTGATTTCTCTTTCTTGGCCTCTTGCACACATTAAAACTTTTACGTGTTGTATCATTAATCGTACATAATTGATGAAGTATATGCACTTTTATAAAGGTAGAGAGATGACTAGTTTTCCTTTTAAAAACATAATTCTAAGTAAGGAATAAGAAAGGAAAACACTTCATCAATAAGTAATTATCAAAAAGGTAATTATAAGTTGACCAAAAATAAATAATATTAA